CATGGTTGCGTTGCGGATAAATTCACCCATATTCGAACATGCTGGTTTTTCTAAGATTAAGGTTCCATTAAATTTGTGCTTAAGCATGCCCTAGTTAAAAGAAATGAGCCGATCTTTCAGGTAGCCGATCTAATTAGGTGTTAGCAACAGGTCTCTGCAGATAACTCGATGCAGATACATAGAAGTGTTGAACGGTTGTACTGAAAACCGTTCGATGAGTGTGACATCAATATAGCTAGTATGCGATGGAGTGCAACAAAAACAGACAGATTCTACAACGAGTGATTGTTAGGAATACACGAAATACCCAACATAATCTGGGACACAAAAGAAGAATTTAGAGAAATTCGGATTATTTATACTAATGCTAAGAATGGAAATTAATGGAAGAAGAAATAATAAATTACAAAAACCAGTTGAAACTCCCCATTTTCTTTACTTAGATACACAAGTGTTTAGTAACTGCTCGTTTCAAAAAGGGCAGTGATTTTCGTACTTGTTGTGATTATCCTTGCTTTGGGTACTTGTTGCACAAAAAGCATTCTTGGTCTACTTTAACTAAAAGTACTTTGGTTAAAGTTGGTAATTTTTTGCTCAACTTTGTCCTGTGGTACTTTTTTTACACCTTGACTGACACTAGTGTTCACACTGTGATCAGTTTGTGTTTTAAACCTTTTTAATCAAAATTAAAATGGTTGGTAAGATTCATAAATGTGGACAACCAAACTGCTTGTTCCCCGTTGAGGAAGGGATGCAGTGTGATTATTGTAAAAAGTGGTATCACAAAATGTGTACACGACTAAGTCCGACGGCTTACAAAAGATGCTCGAAGCCTAACTCACACTGGCTTTGTATGTTCTGCTGTACAAATAAAAAGTTACTAGTTCAGGAGGCTATGAGCCTATTGGCTTTGGCCTGCAAGAAGAACGATGACGGTAGCGCTAGTAACACGAGCACTGACGGTGAAGAATGTGTCAGTGTAGTAAGTGCTGCTACCGGAACCGCTAAACACCCGACTGCGATTGACGGGAAAGTGAGATCTCCGTTAAAATTAACGAGGAGCGAAGTACCGCTAGATACTGACATCGGCAATCAAACACCTCTAGTCGAAAATGAAGACCCGTACAAGACTGTCACCGTTCCAAATAGTCCCGGTGTGGCTGTCCTGAGTGGTAACAAATGGACGTCAGCACGGGCGAAAAGAAATAAGAAGAAAAAAGCCGTGGGCAAAATACAGCTGGTCAGCAAGTCATTGGAAGAGACGTTATCAGAAGCAAAAACTCCACTGCGTGACAAGACAGATCTCTCTGAGAGATCAGTCAATTTTCAGTATTCAGATAAAGAACCAAAGGCAAGATTCGAACACGATCTCATTCATATTAAGACATCATTAAGTAAACTACTCCCAGGTACAGTTTCAGGAGTTAGTATTTGTAAGATTTATAGAATAGGAAAAAAGATGGATTCTGAAAGTCCTCAGAAAAACCGCCTCTTGAAGGTTGCATTCACCACGGTGGAAGAAAGGAACCTGATTCTAAGTAATTCATGTAAACTAATTGGATCCGGATTATACGTCCGAGAGGACCTCAGCCTAGCTGATCGTATTAAGAGAAGGGCTGCAGAAGCGGAAATAAACGAGCGTCGCCAAAATGGTGAAAGAAACCTCGTTCTTAAGGGTTTTCAAATTGTAATAGTTCGGAGCAAAACGATCCCCAAACCACTCTGAGTGGTAAGGGAAAGTTCTCTACAGACTTAAAGGTATGCTACACAAATGCTCGCAGCCTACTGAATAAAATGGCGGAGCTCAATTCAGTGGTGGATAGAGAAAAACCGGACGTTATCGCTGTCTCGGAAACTTGGTTAACGTAGTAGGGTTGATAGATTAAACCGTAGGGGAGGCGGTGTTATTCTGTACACGAAAAGTACCCTAACCATAAGATTAGCTGAGACAGTAGCACATGTTTCAGGGACATGTGAATTGGTGAGATGTAAGTTGAAATGCCGAAGGCAAGATATTGAATTAGTTGTAGTTTATCACAGTCCAGAATGTGTAGCAGATGATTTCATCTTAAGTAAACTTAAGTTCTGGTGTAACAACGGTAAAAGCCATGTAGTAGGCGACTTTAATGCACCATATATAAACTGTGTTAACTTAAAAGTAGGGTCATCGATAACGTCGTTCGACTTCAAACTGTTAGAAACCTCGATCGGACTAGCATTATTCCAACACATTAGAGATCCCACAAGGTACGACTTAAGAAACTCTTCTTCTCTTTTAGACTTAGTCTTTACACACGGTGATGACGTTGGTCAAAAGGCTTTTCTCCCACCACTTGGGAGAAGTGACCATGCAGTCATCTTATTCAAATTCATGGCTGAGATTGCTTGTCAAACAATTGCGCCGGCCCGTCCTAACATATGGAAGGCAGATATGCAGGCAATCAACTCCGTAGCATCGGCTGAGAACTGGGAAATTGACTCAAAGGCATCAGTACAAGAGGCATGGACTCTATTCAGACAGTTATACAATCGGGTAACTCAACCATATATACCCTGGACTGTCCCAAAGAAAAAGAAGCACGGACATCCCTGGTTAGGGCGGGATATTCGACGCTTGCTAAGACAAAAGAAGAAATGCTGGGATGTTGCCATCCGCCTTGGCACAGCAGGTACGATGGAACGCTACAGATCGATAAGAAACGTGTGTATAACTAAAATTCGGGAAGCGCAAAGAAAATACGAAATGCAGCTGGCAGAATCTGCACTCAAGCAGCCCAAGAGGATATTCTCGTACATAAACTACAGAACAAGGACTCATCACTGGATTCCCAACCTAATTAAAGTAGGAAGTGAATCTGAAATGACAGAGGAAGATCAGGAAAAAGCTGAGATTATGGCTGACTACTTTGGGGCAGTTTTCACTCAGGAACCTCCTCTAGAGAAAGAACCAGACCCAATTACAGAGTCAACAAACCAGCTGCTCACCGTGGACTTCGACCAAAACGATGTGCTTAAGGCTCTTAGCACCCTAAACATGGAGAAGTCAACAGGACCAGATGAACTACACCCTAAAATCTTGAGACATATTGCCCAATATATCGCGGCACCACTGACTGTGATATTCAATATGTCACTTGACCAAGGTGTGTTACCTATGGACTGGAAGGACGCAATCGTCACTCCCATACATAAAACTGGTCTACGACAAGTTCCATCAAATTACAGACCCGTAAGCCTCACCAGTGTTGTAATTAAAATACTGGAAAGGATAATCAAGCGGACCATAACAGCATTTATGGAAACCAATAACTTGCTGAACATGGCACAACATGGTTTTAGAAAGGGTCTATCTTGTACAACGAACCTCTTTATAGCTAGGGAGTTCTGGATTAATGCGCTAGACAACGGAAACTCAGTGGATGTTGTCTACATAGACTTCAGTAAGGCTTTTGACAAGGTGCCAACTAATAGACTGCTATTGAAGTTGGCAAACCTTGGTATTGCCGGACCTCTTTTAAAATGGATTAAGGATTTCCTGGTAGGTCGTAGGCAAAAAGTAAGAATAAATTCCAAGTGCTCCATCTGGAGACCAGTACTTAGTGGAGTACCCCAAGGTTCCGTCCTAGGTCCTTTACTTTTTATAATGTACGTTAATGATCTTACAAGTATAGTACAGTCTCCAATGTTATTATACGCTGACGATGTAAAAATTTGGCGAGTAATAACTGGAGACAAAGACGCATTTACTCTTCAGGCAGACTTAACTAATATGATAAACTGGTCTAAAGAGTGGCTAATGCCTATCAACTCGGAAAAGTGTGTCTACATGCACTTGGGGGATTCAAAGGTTAATACGTACAACATAGGGGATGTGTCATCACCCGTAGTCCGGTCTCATAAGGACCTAGGGGTGACAGTGAGCAATGATCTTAAGATGACGGCCCATTGCCAGGAGGTCGCAGTTAAGGGGTTTCGAACCCTCTGGGCTTTAAAAAGGACATTCACTAAGCTTGATACTACCATGTTCACCACATTATACACATCCTTAGTGAGAACTAAGTTAGAGAACTGTGTTCAGGCTGCAAGCCCCTGTTTAAAAGGTGACTCAGACACACTAGAATAGGTACAGAGGGCAGCCACCCGTGCAATTCCGTAACTCCGAGGTTTATCATACAAAGAGCAACTTGAAAAACTGAACCTCTTTACTCTGTCCTATCGCAGACTAAGGGGAGATCTAATATTGATGTACAGAATAATGAGAATTGATTTCGGACCTAACTTATTCTCTCTCTTTCTTCCCACTAGATCGGAACACCTCAGAGGACATAGCAGGCGAGTAGAAAAGCCAAGAACGAACAAAATACCCCTGGCATACAGTTTTTCACACCGAGTCATCAATACTTGGAACCTGCTGCCTGAAGCAGTGGTATCCGCACCTTCAATTGACTCTTTCAAGAGAAGACTGGACACTCACAGAAGCATACTAGGAAAGGAATAACATAGGCCGTAGGCCTTCTGTCCTTACTACACAAATCTGAATCTGAATCTGCGTGGCACGAAGCAGTGTTGTCCGCACCTTCACTTGATTCTTTTAAGAGAAGACTGGACAATCACAGAAGCATACTAGGAAAGGAATAACATAGGCCGTAGGCCTTCTGTCCTTACTACACAAATCTGAATCTGAATCTGCGTGGCACGAAGCAGTGTTGTCCGCACCTTCACTTGATTCTTTTAAGAGAAGACTGGACAATCACAGAAGCATACTAGGAAAGGAATAACATAGGCCGTAGGCCTTCTGTCCTTACTACACAAATCTGAATCTGAATCTGTGTTGCACGAAGCAGTGTTGTCCGCACCTTCACTTGATTCTTTTAAGAGAAGACTGGACAATCACAGAAGCATACTAGGAAAGGAATAACATGGGTCGTAGGCCTTCTGTCGTTACTACACAAATCTGAAATCTGTAATTGTTTAAACACTAATTGGGGTTGAATAAATACGGGCGGGTTACTTGCCAAGGTCGCGTGTGGTGAACATGGTTAATATACCCAAGACGAGGAATACGTTTTGTAAGAGTGCCAAATGCAAAAAACATACTTTGCATAAGGTAACTCAATACAAAAAAGGGAAAGATTCTCTGTATGCTCAGGGCAAGCGGCGGTACGACAGGAAACAGTCAGGTATGAAAATGAATTCATATAATACCGATTTTAGGTTATGGCGGTCAGACAAAACCAATTCTCAGGAGAAAATCTAAAACTACAAAAAAGATTGTGCTGCGGTTAGAGTGCTCTCAGTGCAAATGTAAGAAGCAACTGCGAATCAAGAGGTGCAAACACTTTGAACTTGGTGGAGATAAGAAGAAGAAAGGTCAAATGGTTACCTTTTGAACGATTGCTCATAAATAATTAGTTGGTACACATAGTTGTTTTGGTTTAAAGTCTAGTAATTGTTTGTTTGTGTGAATCAGGATTAATTTTGCAAATTTATTGAGCTGGCAAGTGACGACAGTCGTTTCCATGTAACGAACGTTGGATATAACTGAATGCTAAATAGTTATCCCTGTCCTGAATGTACCAAGCACTCATCATTTCTAGTAATATTTCCTGAATATTGTCAATTCTCAGACACTAAGATTTCTTCACCGACCAGTTAAGTAAGGCAAAATTTTCGATTCGTGTTGAAAGTTAATTAACTTTAGATATGTCTTAACGATGTTAGAAGTAGGTACGTATTGCACACGAAATGCTGCAAACGAGTTGTGTTGGTGTACATAACTTAAATAGTCGGCCAGTCTTAGGGATCTTAACGTTTTGAATTAAACTTAGCTGTCGTATAACGTCGTTCATACAGTCTCGTAGAAGGAATTACTATGATGTAATGGTTCTCCATGACAACTCATTACTTATGTTATCCGTCAGGGATCGGTACTAACTGTAGTTAAATAACAGTAAAATTACGTGAATTCATAACGGCCTATATGGTTTGCAATGGTTGCATTTTCTTACACAATTCCAAAACACGGCCACGGGGCAGATATATGGGATTGTAAATACCATGGACCTTACAATTTCTTACTAAGTTCACATAAACGATATTAAGATTAGATGCATACTACTCGTTAAAACTAATCGAGTAGCCAAGATGTGATTATAAAGATTGAGGAATTCGAATAATTAGGACTATGCTGTGACAACTAGTCTTCACTAAAACTCAGGGATAGGTTTACGCGTTACCTTTCTCTGTTCATGTGATCATCTCAAAACTTGTATGATCATAATCCATTTTTTGGTCTTAAAAAAGAATGAATAAAGGGTTGAGTAGTCGCATTTTTCTAAACGGTGTGTACGACGATGTTGATATTAAACACTTGTCGAGCTTCTGAAGGTTTTGTGCCTCTTATGCTGATCGAAATTTCAAGTGTTATTTGGTTAGAAAGCTAGATGCATGCCATTGACGACAACCTGACTAGGATGTCTGTTGTGGTGGGAAGCAGCATTGATTTCGGTACTTCTCTAGGCTACGTAAAAATGATATGATGTTCAGTGGGTTCTATGATAGGTAATAGATATCAAATAAGTAGTCTTAAATGGGTTGGTCTGTTGATGTGACCGGTAAGTTGTAATGCACTTGCTATGTACTCGCAGTAATAGCGTATGTCGGGGGTCTTGTTTGTGCTTTTGAATTAAGATTAACTAGCAAGCACCAACAAAAGAATAAGACTTCGATAGGTGAGCAATTAAGTCTTTTCCATATCAGTTAATTATCTCTGGATGTTACTGAGTCGTATATCTGGATGGGGGACTACGGAGAAAGGTTTTACAGGAAGTTCGCAAACAACTAACAAAGCTTAAACAGTTGCTGGATCAAACGTTAGATGTTCATTGTAAGCAAATACAACTGGGAAACTAGGGCCCAGTTGCTTGGGATGAAACTCTCAATAGCTTTTTACTGACCGGTGGATACTTCCCAAGGTTCGTCCAGTTGTTTTAAACGCAGAAGGATAACACAATATGTCGGTCCCTACATAAATTACAAATCAGGACTTAAGATTATGGGTGTGTAGTTTTAGAAATACTTATCTAATCTTGCTTGTATCAGCAGTTTCGCCAACTCTTGTCATGAGAAGTACGAAAAATATATCCCAGTTGTTAACACATGACACTACAGTATTCAACTATGACTAATGATCACGTAGATTTATTGTTCTCAATCATGTTTGTTTACGTAATACTTGTATAGAATACCCACAATCTGGTTATTGGCGAATATGTTGGTTTTTCTGCTATAATAGACTCAAGGTACAGTTGGACCATTAGTTGTAATAAAGTATAAAATGCGAGAATTCACATGAGGTTGTATTAAAAGTTGAGTAGTTGCGTTAAGTGTGAATATGGAGATGGATTATGTGTCCTCACAGCAATCAGGAATCCGATGATTGGTTACGACTATGGATGTTAGACATGACTGACTTCCCTTCCAGTTTGATTACTTTCTGATTACAACATTCGTGTCAGATATTTTAAAGCATTCGGCCACTAAAATCTGATATTAAGGGGTGTTTTCCAGAAGTCCTTATTTCATGTGTGTTCATGTGGGGTGTCTGTCAACCTAGCTACATTTCCTCAGACATTTCATATCTTCTCTATTGCACCCAATAATAATAAACCTGTTTTTGATAGTCTGTTAATTTATTAGCTCGCGGTCTGACTACATTTTTGGCGAACGAATAAACCTGATTATAATTCTTCCATATATGATACATAGGCTAACCCCGTGTGGGAGACGGGGTACTAAGAAGCCATATACGGATTAAGTTGGGTGAGTTTATTCCATGCATTCGTCTAATCACACAGATATTAAGACGAAGGGCGCGAAAACGAAAAACTTTCGATAAAGCGTGACTCACGATTAATAGGTAGACAAAAATAGGCTTAAGATATGTGGTGAGCAGGGTAAGCAGTACAAACGCATGAGCTCAAATAAAAACGGCCAAGGCTATAAACCGGGAAGTCACAAGGTCGAAATGTGACTAAGGAAGAATAAAGTAGTTGGTCTGTCCGGAAGCTGGAATAACCCACATGGGTGTAACATAGGACTAGACATTACAATTTCCTGAATTCTACTTATATTAGTGAATAGTTATTATTGAAATGGAGTCAATAACTTGATTTTCTTATAGTTTAGTGTCACGGTCCGGTCTAACTGTTTCATCTCAGTATGGAGCTCTTCTGCAATGCAAAGATATGACTAATTGGGTTCCAATTTTCGTTAGAAAAAATCATCCAAACAGTGTCTTGTTACAACCAAAGTTAGTAAATGCTTGTTTTGTTTGTAGAACTGATTCTGAAGTTAATTAATGTAATATTCATAGACCAACCCGATTAGACAGTAACATATTGTAATTATGATTGGATCCGTTCAGTAATTGGTTTCCAGAGAACAACCAGTGTTGAGTACTTCTAACCATGTATGTAACGTGATATCATGATGAAATCAGAAGTAATACCTGTGTCACTGTTTAGTTAGGTCCAAATATCAGGAAGAATAACTATCTTCAATGGATGTAATTAATTCCTACTAATAAGTGTCAAGCATGAAAATATGACCTTGCGACCCCATAATAATCACGAGTAAAACAGTTTAGAACATTCATCTAGATTTTATGATTGCCGGAAAAGAAATAACGAAGGTAACACAATGAGGAAATTTTCCGTCTCAAAGAGACTACTTGACAAAATACGACTATGTACAACTTTGATAAGTGTTACTCATAAGATTCATTTAGTTAAAAGAAAAAAAAATTCAAAATAAATAGACATCTATTTCCATGTTATATACATGGAACTATCATGAAGAAAGTTAGATGATCATAGAGATGGCTCATTTTATCTAGTGATGAAAACTAAACATGCAGAAAATTCATCACTATACATTTTCTACTTTATCTGCTTTTTCATACACAGAAAGACGTTCTTGTGCTTCATGCAGTTTTTGTTCCAGTTCTCGATTACGCCATATCAGATAATCAATTAATTGATAATTTGAGAAGTTACCTTTCAGTGGATAGTATATTTTCTTGTCTTCGTGTATTGTTGATTCTATTTTCAAATTCTTGGAAACAATATCTAGGGATGAATTAGATGCATCTACAGTGATGTGATTTTCCACGAGATCTGGGAACTAGTAAAGTAAACGAATGAAATTGAAAAAATGAGAAATAGTAAAATATAATAATTAATGTAAAATGTAGTTAAATTGAATCAGTCTTACCCGTAAAAACCATAAATTTTGTTGTAAAACCTTAATACTACAGAAAATTGACTGTGAGTATTAGCAGTTTAGATTATCAAATGATTTCAATATCTAGGTTGATAAAAAGAGCGATGACTTGATGCTTAAAGTTTTCGGTTTTCAACCAACGGAGTACAAGTCCAGATTCAATTTGTACAATAGGGTAGCATCACATAGTTTAACACAAACAGTGTAGCTGAAAGTTGGGTGCATAAATCTCTATTGAGTGAGTTATGTTATTCATTTGATGTATAAAACACATGTGGTTGGGGTGGATAAAGAAAGATTAGAGAGTAGCAGAAAAAAGATTTCAGCAAAAACATCATAACTTTTCATTCTACTCATTTAAAATGTTTGGAATCAATTTAACAATTTACGAAAAACCAGCTAACTAAGCTGTTGAGAAATGTGTTATACCATCTGGAAAGTCAATCATTTAGGTGTTATGTTAGATAACCTAGAAGTGAGCTAAAGACATCAAGAGATATCAAACTACGACATCTTGTCCAATCATGAAATCACTCGTCATTGGGGACCATACAGTAAGGTTGGGATCTGTCATGGTTGTGAATTTTACATAACCCAGATGGAGGTCAGTCACAGGAGCACTGGTGCATTCTTGCTAGACTTTCCCCCCATATTTCTGCATTCCTTTGACTGGTTTAAGTGTTCTGTTTTGAAGTGAAGATTTTTGCCCCTCTTTTCGGTTTTATTTCTGTATGCTGATGTGAAATGAGGCGTTTTGAATCGATACGCAAACTGTATCAGGTCACAAAATGTTTCTTTTAGTTTATTTGTCTAATTATAGCTTAGTTCATCATCCAGGTAATATAATCTCAGTGGAGTTTTAATAATGTTTAAACTAAAGCTCAACAGTAAGCATAAAATATTGATTGACACAGTCATCTTATGATAACGTGATTTAATTTGCAAGTGGTATTCACCACATATTGATGTCCAATGAGATAACTTGTAGAAACCAGGAACACTGAACATCTGTTTCGTCCTAGTATAAAACCACTAAAGGTTTTGCAGCGAACATCTAAGCGTTAGACGCCACTGAATTACACCTAGTGTTACAAATTTCCTACGTCAATCAGTTAATGAGACAGTGCAATGGTCTCTCTACGCCCTTTTTGACAATTGTTTCGCTCTGACATGCCTAGACTCCATCGTTCAAGAATTCTTAATAAAACCTCAGGAACGTTCCTATAGCTAAGTCACTAGTCAGGTCATAAATGCACGTTACTGTGGGGTAGGACGGAACAGCTGCCAAATACTCATCAGTTCTTAATGGGACCTCAGGTTATTTCAAACTGTGAAGAATGCTGCCAACAGATAGTATGATTTTTTAACTAAAATTTTTAAGATAAAATCCTCTGTTAAATAATAAACCTGAAAAATCTCATTTTTATATATAAAGATGGTTTGTAATTTGTACGTTTGATGTGAAATATAACAAGACAAATATATCATTTTATAGACTGCCGAATGGATCTTGAAATAAACTTATGTGCAGACAATGAAGAAGACGAGAAATATACAAAAAAAGAATCAGCTTTATTGGAAAGGTGTGCTATTCTTAGTACGAAGGCTTGTGGACATTGTTGAATTTTGTAACTTGCATTGCGCAGTGACCTTAGTTAAGAGGTACTATAGAGCTGTTTTCCGATTCCTCAGCAACACACACCCACAACCCCGCCAGGGATCAAACCTGGGGCCTTCAGATCAAGCGGCGAGCGCTTAAGCTTTAAACTAAGGAGTCCAGACCCCATGACTGATTATTATTATTATTATTATTATTATTATTAATGGCTTCATTCAATATTATATTTTGGTACAATATAGAATTCTCATCATAGGGTATTTCAACAAGTTTCTTACGCAAAAAACAGAAACAAAGACAAAAAAAAGGAAAAAAGGGTTTAAAAAAAACCGAAAAAGTGTACAACTTTTCAAATTAGAGACATGTTAAGAATGCAGGCTATTGATTAGGTTAACTCTCATACAATTTATATTTCTTTTTCTGTTTATAATGTGTCATTAAATATTACATATTAGTATTCTGAATAATTATTCACAATTTTCAAACACACCACTAACCTCTGAGTTGACTGACAATATTTCTAAAACTTCCATTGCATTAGGACGATATTGAACATGAAGATTTAACATTCTAGCAACTAATTGACTCTGATATTGTAGATTTAAGGATCAAAGAGAAATACATGAAAGGTGATATATATATATACTAGAAGAAACAGTAATTTGTAAGAATATTATCACTTTACGGAAAGACAACAATAATAATACATTGTAATAAGTCGTATTGACATATTCAAGTATATTTGTTATTTTGATTATTTATTAATAATCAATGTAGACCCTGCAACAAATATGCATTGGTCCAAGTTGTCATACCATATCAACACAACAATATGAATGGTAAAAGAGTATAAATGATAATGAGAAAGACTAAACAATGGGAATACGATTCGACAAGACAGAATAAAACAGTGTTTATCAAGGAATACTAGAATTTAAGAGTAAATACATCTGTGCTATTTGGACTGATTCTAAGTTATTTTTTGGTGTTCAACTAATTTCACAAATTTACCTAAAAAAACTATTAACTCATCGTTATCCACAAAAAACTATAAGATGCCTAAAATTAAATTTCTTTAGATTTCTACGAACCACAATACCTATATTGTACGTAGTGGTAGTGTGTAAATCTATTACTGGGATAAGGACAGCATATATGCTTATCAAATCTCTCGCAAACAGTCGATGATCAACGTGCACAGGTATAGCATAAACGATATACCAATGAAACCAAAAGACTTTCTGTACAAATGGGAAGAGCCTATGGCTGTTCTTACTGTTTGACGTAAGCCATTGAAAAGTTTATGCATGCAGATATTAGTATGAGTCTTTGGCATTAATGTAACAGATAAGATCAATGTACGCGTGCAAAACGTCAGATTGGCTTATGGTAATCTGGTCCATTTTATTCGTTGTGTAATACTTCTTTGAGATTAAAAACCCTGGTCTTTTCAAACCAAGGATATCTTACAACTTTTTGCATTCTTCTGGTCACGTTCATAAGCAACGTTGTATACATATCATCATCAACTGTGATGCCATAAATTTACGGATTACATATTACAGAACAATATAGGCAATTGGGAATTCTGTTAATGCCAAAGTTGAATGATAGAGGAAAGGTAATCCACAGTGGGAAATAATAGTGGAGATTAAATAATTAGTGAACTGCTTATCTAATTTATGATATTCTGTTATCAGCTATCAATTATTCGGTTTTATTCATCATCTCATAGTGAAGAACTAACATTAAAAACAAACAAATCGACAACGAAATAGGAAAAAAAACACATTACATAAGACTCACTTCATAAGGCCAAGTTGACTGCATTGAACGAGGAAATATATCTAACAAATAATTCATAATTCCATGTTTAGTATGAACATTAATGTTACACTGGTTGGTACCACCATTTGAGATTTTTTGATTTTTTATATTATGACAATTAGTTAATGATGATGCATTGATAAATTGTTCTAAATAGGTTATTAATTCGGATCTTGTGAAGCATGGATGTAACATTTCAAAGAATATTACACCTAAACTATAAATATCAGCCTATTTTAATTAAATGAATAAGAATAATGAACAAAGAGATAATAATGTTTATAACCTAATAAACAGATTTAAATACAATTAAATAACACTTGAAATATATGTGTTGACGGAAAATGACACATCACAAGTTCAGTATATCACAACAGGATAATTCATACTTTTACTAATAATGATAATGAAATAATACATGTTAGTAGCTATCTAGTGTTATAACTGTGACGGCAGCAGATTAGAAGGTAGGGAATTATTGATCGGACCAAAGACGCGCAAACACGTAGAACGACCTAGGGTTCTGATTGGCCTCGCTTCCCTGTCTAGCCCAGCCAGTTAAGTCCAGAACGCAAGTCTCAGCCTCGGATATATGAATCATTATATTTCAAACACGCTCTGATTATATACTAATCAAGCAGACCACATCGTACCATAAAATGGAAAATAACATTGTACAATATTGACCAGTGGGAAAATGACACGTGAAATATGCACTGACCAATAAGAGAATAATACCATCTCCAAGTCCAAGAATAGCATTAGACTTAATAGAATAATTTTTGGGATATTTTCCTGAATATCCCAACACTGGACTCCCTATCTGAGTGAATAATGTGTGTTGAAATTTATTTAAAAGTAAAGGTACTAGGCTCAAATGTCGCTGTGAGCATCAAAATACTGGATTGTATGTACATATCGTTGACGAACCTCAAATAAGACGAAAAATATTTTCAGTTTCACTAATAGTCATAATTCATTTATTTTATAAAACCAATATGTTACAGGTTCATATAGTCGGGTAGGGGTCGGTGGTTTCAGTATTAAAAGCATTTGATTTTCGACCAATAATTTTCAGATATGAAACATAATAATGAGATCTCACACACAAACATTTTGTGCAGTTCAAAGCTGAGGACATAGATCCGTACTTAGGAAATGAATAATATTAGTTTATACAATCAAGCACAGGCGTTTATCACTAAACAACAAGTATTAATATATGCAACCATTATAATATGTACTTCAGTTACTATTTAGTTCCAATGACACTCATTAATTTGATTTCATAGAATATCAGATTTAAAAAGTATTATATATATATATATATATATTTAATTGAAACCATGAACCAATCTAAGTTAGGCTATCATTGAAAACCTGGAGCTCTGACGGCCGTTTTTTCTTAGTATGAGACTCCTCAGTAGTACGCGTCTGCGACCCCGCACGCAGGAATCGAATCCAGGACCTGTGGTCTCGAGCAAACACCGAACCCCTAGACCTCCGAGCTGGCATTCAGTTGTATAAACGTCTAGCCTAACCAATCTAGAACATTTCGCAACGATCATCTTTCATTGTCTTCGATGAGTAACTACCTCACACGCGACACGTGTGTATGATTTGTTTTCAGATTTTTAATGGTGGTCCAACTTAGGTCGGTTCATGATCTGAATGAAATTTAACAATCTCCACAATATGTTTAACAAACCTTATAATTATACAATGTTCGTTGATTTGATTTATTTTTACAAGAATTTTGAACTTCTGGTGCAGTATAAATCGAACTGCCTAAATCGGCCGTTAAATAAAACAAAGTCTGATGTGTTTTAGTTGTCGTTACAGGTTTATGTTTTGACAACAATAAATGTTTTTCGTCAGAGTTATCACTTGTTTCGCATAGATTATTATTATTATTACTAGATGAATTCACCATAGTGAATTCTTGATTAGATTTCATTGTATTCTGTCTTATATTTTGATTGGGTTGTAGAGAGTTCATTATCGATTCATCAGTTTCTGATAAATTACTAAAAATGTTGAAAAAAAAGGAAATTCGTTTGGAAATTATGCATTTAGTTAACAACTAAAGAGATAACTTGGTAAAATACCTGTAATAATAATTATAAGAACAGTAAAAGTTTCATAATGAATATATTTTTTTGGTATATCTCAATGAGTAGAAAAATGGCATTTATTTACTCTGAAGAAGGTGTCTTACATTAAGTCACGAAACGTAATAAATATAGTTTTCTGATCATTGGGATATAACAAAAAGATATTTATTATTGACTTCCTACCCAATGCTCAATGTTTTTAAAAAAAACTATCAAATTCAACCTTAGCCTTGTTACCTACAAACTCATAGGCGAAAATTTCGCATATGAATGAAAAACTTCACAAAACATAACTTATCCGATCTAATTTACGCCACGAAATGTTGATAGCTAAATTGTATGCATGGATTAAAGTTGACATTCAAAAGACAGTGATTTTTCTAAAGGAATTACTTATTAACTCTAATGATAAGTTTTCAGGATCTATCTATTAAATATTACTGAAACATTTGATAATTAATATACCTTGGTGTATACAATTGTTTTGTGGCTGATACATGAAGACATAACATAGTTGAGAAACAAAGCATTCGTGATTGTTACTACATTCGAACTAATGATAGCATGATAATTAGTAATCATTGTTATTAAAAAGTTAACCACTGAGCAAATTATTGGATTTAGTATGTATCTGTATAGAATTAAGTTAAATATTATAAGTATTTGTTCATTGCAATGAAAAAAAGCACTGAAATATATGGATATAAATTACACTTTGACAAATTTGAATCAAAAGATTAATCTGTGATAATGTAGTAAGCACTTTTAATCCTAATTAGCTGCAAGAAATAAATAGATAAAAAAGTTTTGAAACTATGTTTCAAATTAATTGGTACTCATCATCAGCAGGACAGTGTGCATAATTTTGAGAGTATTGACTGATGCTCTCCATACAGTCTACGTTACCGTCAGAGAGGTTACTACTGAACTAACTATACGAGGGATATCTGCCACATACACATACGCGTATCTCCTTCGAACCAAAGAAAGTATAATAAAACAATTATGCACAACTTTAAATGAATTAGTAACTTAAGAACTGATATAGCTACATGACTTTGATGCGCTGGGCCAAACAGAAATGTCATTTTAAGGTCAAATGAAAAATGAGGGGTAATGAAGAGGGTACTCTAATTGTCAAGATTTGGCTTAACTTTCGATATAAATTACTAGTTGAAAGGTTGGCTTAATTTTCTGAGTTTCATATAATTAGACTAATAAATTTGTGGATATATTTTGATTTAGATTAGTCAAAAGCTTTCTACTCAGTATTTTTTTTGCTGAAATAACAGACTGGGCTTGCACATATGAAGCTTTTATATCAGTAGCAGAATTGAGAGATTGATTATCCAACACAACAGACCTAAAACAAATCTGTTCTAAGTGTGAATAGATCCAGGAGTTCAGAAACACCAATTGATCCGTGTACAAGCTCATTTATTTTATTCTTTTTTAGGATAAAAGATGATCTTGATCTATTTAAAGTGTTTTGTATACGTTTGCGTAAATCCAATCAAATTTATGCGAAAGTAACCATTTCGAAAACAAAGTAAGACTTTGTATGACACTGGATCTACCTTCAGTAAATAATATTTAACAAAATGAATAAAATGCTTCTTTTGTTTTCTTTTTTACAAACAAAAACACTTACTCTGAAGAATATCGTAAACTATTTTTAAATTGAATTAAACTATCCGAATCGGTACTTCGACTAGATGATGTTGACAATATCGATAACGACGGATACTCATCATCGTTATCTTCATCTTCATCATTATTATTATTATCATCATCATTAGGAAATGAACTAGTTCCATTAAAAAATGAAGGTTGATTTGACTGTGATAAAGATAATGAATTTAAATGACATGCAAATCTCGATATGTTGGTATCATTTGGATTTTGTACATGTGTGTTTTTGTTAAATGATTGGAAAGTGTCTGAAAAATTGGAAAGTAAAAATTAGCATATTACTGTGCAAAATAAATTTTATCGATAGAATTTAATTAGCACTAAGAAGATTAGGCAAACATGACATTGGTCACTACTCACTGACCAATCATATGAAAATATATCAATCCTACTGGAAGTCAGTCGCAACCCGAGTAGTTTCGAGGTAACGTCTCACATCATGAAGCTAGTTGATTTGGATTCAAATGTCACATGAAGCATTAGTTTTCACTCAATACTGCAAGTACATCTTGTTGCCAACTGCTAGCTAGCAACAAAGTAAGGGTTGAAAGGGATGCTTTCGACTACTTCTAATCATCAAATATAAAACATTAAATGTCTGGTGATAATAAGATGAATTGTTTATAAAAATTTAGTGTATTCTAATGCGAAAAATCGTAAAAGAGATTGATGCTGTAAAATGCTACAACGATCATATGTAAATGAACTGGAGCACTAAAATAAAACTTCCCATTTTCTCAGTTTCAGAATACACACACACTCCAACCAAAGTATACAGATTATGAAAATGCAGTGAGATTTATAATTATTAGTTGTATTATTATCATCTGTATTTTCTGTCCAATAAGTCAATTAATTAAATTGAATAAGACGTTAATGTATTGAGAACTCCTATTCTTACCCTCCATTTGTCTAATTGACTTTCTATTTTTATATATCAATGTTCTTAACAAGTATATGTGTGATCAAATTATTTGAAACGTATTGCGCTAATATATATCACATAGTTCTGATAATTTTAGAGTTATTGTAAAACTACTGTTAAATGAAATAAAAACGAGATCAGATTAAAACGAGCTTTTGGATAGTTAATTAAACAACGACAAAAGTTCACAAGAGCTCTTTAAAATACAGTACAGATGGTAATAATACGAAGTATAAAACCCAAGTCTATACCTTAAAGCTAAGCATCAGTGTGATAATGATCTTTTGCTTTCATTCTATGCAGAATGAATAGTGTTTGTTCTAAATATTCTACATACTAATATCATCAAATTATTGATTTTTTTCTGTTCTTTCTTCTCGTTTACAAGTTAACAAGAAAGATAAGAATGAGATCGTTCTTATAATGTGTAAAGCATACTTTATTTTGATGACATAAACTTTGATGTGCACCATTAAACAGATATATATATATATATATATATATATATATATATATATATCAGATGGGTTTTGTGGATGTTATAGTAAATTCAATGGTTAAGATCATGAGTCAGTTGAAGCTAGACCACCATGGAAAACCTGGAAGCACTGGACGGCCGTTTCGTCCTATTGTGGGACTCAGCAGTGCGCACCCACGACCTCGCCCCCTGCGAGATTCGAACCCAGGACCTACTGGTTTTGCAAACACTTAACCACTAGACCACTGAGCCGACTAAGTGCTCGCGCGCGAAACCAGTAGGTCCTGGGTTCGAATCTCGCAGGGGGCGAGGTCGTGGGTGCGCACTGCTGAGTCCCACAATAGGACGAAACGGCCGTCCAGTGCTTCCAGATTTTCCATGGTGGTCTAGCTTTAACTGACTCATGATCTAAACCATTGAAAGATATATATATATATATATATATATATATATTAGGATCGACAAAATTATTTTTTAAATTTGTCGATTGTGTTTCTTTTTAACAAGAACTACGGATATTTGTTGCGTCTGCTATTGAAATAAGGCGAACACAACTACACTTCAAAGTTTGAGGTGACGATCGGCGGCAGTCAAAAGGAAACCCTGTCATTTAGGTGTACTAGGAATCTTGAGGGGGGAGAATGATGATTCCCGATAGATTTGAACTCGCGTCATATAGTTTCACAGTTAGGGACGTTACTACTAAACTATTTGGGTCGCGAGTAACCGGCACTAAGGACTTGACATATATGACACTTCTTGGGGAAGGAGATTCACCGGTGTCCTATAGTTGTTTATATTCAAGTGAAATTTAGTTGTGATTATCTGTTACATATTTTGCAGTTAGAATGAAAACGAATAACAGATGAAACCAGAAACCTTAAACGGAGGGCCTACTTATAGGTATCTTGCTAAAAAAGGTGAGGGTATTAGATCAGGATAAAACGCGAAATATTTAAATTCAGTGTAATATTTATTTAGTATTTGTTTGTAATAGTTTGGTGTGACATTTAATCAGCAAAACATTCGATAGCTTGATTCCAGTGTGAAATCCAAATTGTATTCCTATCACTTCAGTAATGTATGACATTTGTTGACTAAATATCATGTGCCAAGAAAAGCTCTATACAAATGAGTGTATTTAGTTAATAAGTGTTTGCTGTGTTTTAGGAGGGTGAATGAAATCTGTCTGATATCGATTCTTTTCTTTAAACCTATGTCATGAAAATATTAGTTGCCACCTGCTTCAAGTCAAGTTTTTACAAATATAACAGCCGTTACAAATTAACTGTAAATATCGTTTGTACCTATGATGAGGAGAACGTTTTCTACATATTTTTTAAGGGGCCATTTCTTGAGCCTCTGACCTGGAGGTTTAATTCACAAGGCAATAAAGAAACGTCAGGATATTCAGTCTCATGGTAGCCGGTGACCGAAATAGGTTCATACGCTATTAGTTCCTTCAAGATTCGGGAGCTCACATGTAAACCGCTTAGATGAAATCTACATATACGATTTAAGTGCCAGATGTTTGTTTCATTTTCACACCAGAACTCTAACCCTGTACCCTTTTCTCCAAAAGTTTAGCGCATTATCCACTAATGTGCTACTGAGTCCATATGATAAATAATTTAAACACTTAACAACTAATGAGAAAAATACAAGACTGTAAAAAAAAGAGGAAGAAAATTTATACCTGATGTATGTTTTATTGGTGAATCAGAGTATGAATTCATCAAATTAAATGATGAATAATCTAACAGTATTCTAGCCAATCCAAAATCACATATTTTCACAATTAATTGATGATAACAATTTGATGCTTTTGAAAGTGAATGCATACAACTACTGTCATTATAATTATAATCATTATTATTTGTTAGTAAAAGGGAAGATGAAGACAAATTGATTGAGTTTTCTCTTTCGTTGTCTAAATATTTATGTGATAATCGTCGATCAACAATACATGTACATGGGATATTAGTGATTGAATGCAATGGAGGTCCACATATAAGTACATTTTCAGGCTGGAAAAAAGACAAGTGGAATTAACCAATCGGAAAGTAGATTTGGATAAATGATTAGTAGCTATGTATAGAATAAACTAGTCATGAGGAACAAAAGAACAACACCCGGAGAGTATGCAATTGAATAGAGAATGTAACAAAAAAGAGGAATAATGAATTAATTTAAGTTAGAAATGTCAACAATCGAATGTTAACCCAATGGTTTAAAGGTTAAACAGTTACCACGAGACTTAAGTGTCTTAGGTTTAGTTTCCGGTAAGATCGTTGATTCACACTGTTAACAAGTGTCATGATAGAATGGAAAAGCTGTCCAATAATCTCTTGATTTATTATGGCTGTCTAGTTTAGATCGGTTCGTGACCTCAACAACGTCCAACAAACTCTACAAAACCCCTATTCTGATGATTTCAAAGTTATTGAATGAAAACTGTAAAACTAACTGGTGTATCACTAGTCCCTCCTGATTCTTTAGAGTACTATTATTCGACTGCATAGCATATTAAAAGCTTTTTAGCTAGAGGCTAGTAAACGTTTAAGCAAACTTCTTCCATATATTATCATGTCAAGGATTAAATCGGCTAGGAAAGTTATAGAAGCTACAAACTTACCTTAAGATCACGATGAATTACATTTTCAGAATGTAAATACGCAACACCTGAAACTATTTGATCCATTAACCAACGAACAGGAGCACGTTGAACTGATTGATATAAAAGCGGTGAGATATTCAGTTGATTATTGGGGACAGGAGTATTAATAGAGAGTAAGTTATTTCTATGCTGTAGCCAATCTGCTAAATTATACTGACATAGTTCTAATTGAATACAAAGAACAGGTCGTCGAATACACATACCGGGATGTGACTTATCCTTAAAAAGAAAGTTGAAGAAGAGGGGGAAAGTAAACAAATCCAATACAAGTGATTAATCGTTAATGCTTTAGAGATAAATTATGCCTTAAAATAAATAGTTCAATCTGATACATGCAAATGATTCCGTTCAGAAAATTTGACGAAGCGGAAGTCAAAATGTTTTCCAGTAGATCATCAACAATCTTTTCTAAGTCAGTCATTCATTATCAATATAGAGTCTGGCACAAATGTGGCAGTAGTAATTGGAAACAACTGGGAAGGAAAGCCCAAGACAGAGTTGGTTGGAGAATCCTGGTCAAAGACCTATTCTCCATGAGAGGTAACAGGTGGAAGTAGGTACAAATGTGTCATAGCACACATTACAATACTACACTAGCACGACGGGATGAAATCAACAAGATAAACAATAAAGGAATCGAAATAATGGATCATATAATCATCCAACGTCTTCAACCACTGATTGAAGTAATTGAGTGGACCTCAACCATGCAGTCTGGATTTACCAACATGACCCAATCAATGATTTCATGGACTGATATAATCATGTTTTGGTTCAGCCGCGTCTCATTTTACAAATATTACAGAGGAAGGGAGGAAGCAACTTTCTAAACCAAACGAATGTAGGTAATTAATGTATAATTTAACTCTGACAATCTAAACCGGTATTTTGCAACTTAACGTTATGAAGGGAGGAGTAGTATGAAAAGAAACTATGTTGTTAGTAACTAGTATTTTTTTCGTAGTACTCTGCTGTTCATATGAGACATTCTTTCCATTCTTTTACTATTCAGCTTTATAGGTCTACTTTTTATCTGTCTTTTTACACGGTAATTAAATATACTTTTCAAATCAAATTAATATTGCCTTGTACATTTACCATTAATTTATTGGGTGTAGGACAAATATTATTTGGGTGTGACATTTTCAAGAGTTTGAAGTTAGGGTTGTCAAATTCTGAATCTTTAGAGTAATATTAAGCAAACGAAAACATACATCTTAGTAACTTATAACAAATTTCTGAAGTATTTTTGTGTGAGAATTAAAAATCAAATCCAAATTCTAATAATTAGGAATTAGATGAATAAAAGACCACATATAATTGACCCTTATAATTTTTATGTAAAATTCCTTAATGACTAATTGAACCATAAGTTTGCTGCTTTTGTTTTTGCTACTCACAAACCAACCAAGATGGGGGTGGTAAGCCTACAAGGCAGGTATTTCAGTCCATATAGCTCGATCGAGTCATTACGATAAGGAAGTCCAACCTATCGATTCAAGGTAGCAACTACGGTTGGGAAAATTAGTCACTGTTATTAGTGCTTCGTCTCAACTTGAACTACGCACCTAAGTGTAATATCAATTACTTAGTATAAACGCGAAAATCTGGCAGGAATATTTATATATAAATATACTGGTCTGTTACTATACGCTATGGAACCTAGTAACAATGCAACTAGTTTAACAATATTTTGAGGTTTTAGAAACGAAGATACCAACGTGTAAACGAATCTCTCTTCAACAAATATACATATAAAAGAGTGGATAAATTTTTATACACGGATTCTGTTGGAATCCAAAATTACACAGAACCAGTAATCTTGAAAGAAAAGATCCGACAATAGGAGGAAGTTAAATTAAAATGTAGTATAAAATGATATATAAATCTATGTACATAGGAGTAGGTTGGAAGAAAGCTAGGGTTGATCAGACCAAAACATGGCACAAGTCCATGAAGTCACTGACAAGTGGACTGAGTCATGTTGGTAGGTGTAGACTACCTGGTTGGGGACCGCGAGATGATAGCAACCGATGGTTAGAGACCTTGAATGACATGGTTCAAAATCGTTTGTAATGGCACAGGTGCATCCAATATTTGTGTTCTCCCAAATTCTAATCTTCTGAATTCTTCATGTCCCTTTTTTCCTCTTCCCAAATTTATTTCACTAGATTATACTCTTTAAATAACATCTCCAAACCCTAATCTTTCCGATAACTACTTATACTCTTACTACCTCTACCACAACGGGATTTGAATCGACAACTGCATCTCTGTGCCAATATAGTATGGCAAGTCGAACTGATGTACGTACGTACGAAGTTCTACGTTGTTACTGACTGGCTGACTGATGTACATAGAAAAGTGAGAAATAAAGCACGTGGATGCAAAGGTAAATACGGTCAATAAAACCTACAAAGACAGCTAATCACAAGCATGGTCATTGGGACAATAAATTACAACCATACCCTTTTTAAAAAAAACTTACAAAATGATTGACAGGAATTAATTCTTTACTAGGAATCAATGCTTTGATATCTGATGAAGTGTCAACTTTCAGATTATTTCTACGTTTTTTCTTTCGTCTTCCATCTGGTAGTGATAAGCCATTAGTTTCTGGATTTTCATTAATTTCCCAAGAATCATCGAATTTATTAGGCGTAAGAAGAGTGTTAAATGAAGATTTAACAGAAGTATGATTATTTCTAGAATTAATATGCTTTATATTCATAATGTTTGATGGATGAGTTAAATAATTACTATGTAAAAATTAAAAAAAGAAAGGTACTGATATATAATGAATACATGAGTGGATAAGATAAGAGTTATGTATTCATGTTCATTATTTATAAAGTATATTGTTAATAAACCATTTATCCTTTGCCTTATTCTACCTCTGTTTAATAGTTATAGTTTACGTTTGATTTGTGGGTAACAGTGGAATTTAGAATGCACGTTTCATCCTAACTGGGAATCATCCAGGCTGAATAACTACCCCAGTGGTGATGTCCACACTCAGACTGGAACCGCAGTACCTGTTGTTCTATACGCATTACTCATACCCGAATACAGATACATTTAGCTGACGAATTTCAAACAGGAATAAACGCGAGTCCTGGGTTTCATTGCAAGATTCATGAACGGAAAAGGTATGACGAAAGTTGGTGGGGCAAAAAGTTTCCAATTAAAACCATATCAAAATGCTATAAACCAATTGTTTGATAAATACACGCTAGAGATATATATGCTGATACACCTGAGTGTATATTTCAAACGTCCTCGTTTCATCTATTCGCCCATTCATAATAAACAGTGGCGATCGAACACAAAGATCTATACAATATTCTCAACAAGTGACGGTTAGGTCTTAAAGATATTCATTAGAATTACAAGCGCTGAAGTAATATATTTCAAAGTAAAGTTTTACTTCCAATATATTTACAATATTTATATTTTGTTTCACATAAAAATTAACTATTTATGCAGTTTATAAGAACTTTCGTCTAAATTTGATGGAATAGTTTCACAAAATTTGGGCGCCTAGTTGATGTGAGACATTAAAGAGGAAGGATGTATTTGTAAGATCTCAGTGTATGAATTTGAAGTAAATCCAACGTTGAATTTATTTCAAATTCATACGCTGGGATTTTACAAATACATTTTTTCAAAATAGTTATACAGTTGATTTATAAGTGTACAGAATCACTGAGGTATTCTTAAACTCTTTAAACGCATTAGTTTATGTGTTAACACTAGATCTCTCAATGGTTTATACGGTCCCAAATTTTCATATCTTTAAATAGTATCGCGAAGACAAACTTGTGTCAGTCGTAGCGTAGGAGAGATGTCCGTCTCTCAACGAAGAAGCGAGTACACTGTCCAGCAGCCCTCTTTGTATTTCTCTATGCTTATGAGACATGGTTTTTAAAAGTAGGAGGCATATATAGGCTGCAGGGTATTGGTCATAGGTGTCGTTTAAGTATTGTTCGCGTATTCTGAGACCGTAGTATGAGCAGTGCTAAAGGTTAGGTGAAGGGTAGTAGATAAAGATGACAGATCTTTCACTGAGGTTATGGATCTTAGTCTAGTGTGTTGCTAAGGATGATTGACGACTGCCAACCTCGACGCACTATGATGGTTGGTGCAGGAGTAGTTTGGGATAGAAACAGCCAAGCCAAGAGGTAAGATTAGTCGATTAAGTCATTAATTGTTGGTTTGAGTCATGTATGTCGATGTAAGCTATCTAGTTGGGGTTAGCACTGTGGTGTGTGCTACTTATATTGATATAAGTAGTATATGTCGCGAGTTAAAACGTAATATCTGGCAGCAGAAGATGAGGTGAAGATCAAGAAAGGAAGAGCCAGAGCACAATGGAATTTGTAAGAAAACGCATGTACAATGGAATGGGAGACAATGGATTAGTGTTTGCAACGGAACAGTCCAGTTTGATATGATGCATTGATATTTTGCAAATTGACGATTGACTTTATGGTATTCAGATTTTATTGAGATAGTCTGTAATTGTTGTGTTAAATACATTCGATTGTCCCCACTCGTGTTCTTGTTCACTACAGCACGACTATCACGATTAGTAGTTAGAGACGTTCGGTGACATAACTCGGATTCGATCACAAACATGCTTACATATTCACTCTTGATCTCTCCATAAACTTGAAACACTAGCAATCCTTCATACATACATTTTCATCCTGCTTTTTTAAACCCTATTTTTAATATTTAACCTTTCTTTTTATTGTTGATTCTACATTATTTTGACTCCTTTGTTATTAATCTTAATTCTATCTCATCGTGTTAGTGTGGTGTGGCAACTTGGACTACAGGACATCTGTGTTAAACATTTCGTTGATTATGACTAGCCGACTGACTGAAATTATCTTTTGTAAATCTCAGTTCCGGTGATCAATTTTTGCTAGTAGAACTTAGATTTATCGACAAGATTTGACTGAAAGTTTATACTTCAACATACCAAAAGAATAAATGTATAAAATACTTTAGTAGTAACCAATACAAGAAAATATTGGCTTTATTTGTAGTTTTGACTTTGAATAAAAATCTGATACAAAAACACAATACTTACTTAGTACGTGTAGAAGTGAGATTACAGTTGGATACCTGAAGGTAGAGAAATAGGGATTCAGAAGTTTTACTACAGGTCCGAATGTGACTGATCATTCAATGCATTATATGCTTTTAAACAGAATCGCAGCTTATTGGCATTATAAGTCACAATGAATCTGAGTTTTTTCTGTAATCAGCATATCTCAGGTTCAGATTCGATTCAAATGACTTGCTATACACTGATTAGCTAAGTTGAATGCTCAGTGTAACAAGAACATACCTAACATTCACTGTAAGTTTAATTAATGTTTATGTCTATGTCTTTATAGTATAGTAAGAATGACCTAACGTTACATTAAAATGAGTAGTAACACTAGTGGTTTGATGGTTGTGGTTATTTCCTAAATGAAAAAGATGCCTAGACCAGGGTTTAGGTTGACAGTTTGCTTAGAATCAACCAAATGGTGTATACAAGGTGTAAATTTTTCATAAAATTTGTCTGTGATGATAAGAAGCATGAGGGACTCCAAATATACGATTTATGTAACAGATTTCACTTTCTTTTAACAACAGCTGCTTATTTTCTCATTTGAGTTGGTGTCATCAGATAATAAGAAGTATGAAGTTGGTGAGGACTTTTTAAAAAAATATTTCTTGAAGGAGAGTTGTAAAGAATATATTCCACAACCAATCATGAGAAGTCAGATTCTAGTAATACTTCAACCATATTTCGGTGTCTTTACTCAGGGTTCTAAATAGGATTTCAAAACAAAAAAATATTATGGACGTTTATAAATGTTATGAAGTTGTTTATTATTTTCTAGATTAAGGTTAGGAAAAGGACACAGTTCAAGAGTTTCAAATTATAAATACGTCAATCCCTTTCAAACTACAAATAGTAAAAGGAGAGGAACAAGTCTAACTATTCGTAGAAGATTATCGAATACAATTTATATAGGGAGCAAGCATACAATTTAGGCCTGTTAAACTATATTAGACGAACAAACGGAACAGAAACCCCGTTGTTTAGCTATTTTCCGTAAGGTAGAATAAATGGAATATTCGAATATATTTAGTAGATTTTCTACATGCTTATATCAGTTATTTGTACTCTGATGTCACGATTTTTCATATTTTGATTGTGTTGTATTAAAATCATCCATATATGTCAATGAAAGGCTTCCTAATACTGTTCAGTTGAGACAATCACAATCCTAATACAAAGATGTAGTTAAATCAATGTAGTCTTTAAAGCACTGTTAAATTTGTGTGTGTAAAGTATTAAAAAGAATATGGTAAGTAAGGGAATAAAGGACATATGAAAATATAGCATTAAACAAGAGATTAACTATCTCTTGAAAGTGATTTTTTGTCATGAGAAACAATGAAATAAATTTGGATTCCTTATATAGCTTCTGGACGTTGCTAAGCAGCAAAGTTCTATTTTAAAATACTACAGGAAATCTTCAACCAAGAGGTTTAGCGAAACTATATAACATATGAAGGGATGTTATATAAGTAAACTGCATGTTGGTGTATCAAAATATGTTTGAGCTTTACTCCAAAATGGAAAAGACGCTGGAGGTGGATAGGACACACATTGAGAAAATCATCGAACTGAATCACAAGACAAGCCTTGACTTGGAAACCTCGAGGCAGAAGAAAAAGAGGCAAACTAAGGAACTAAAGAACATATGGTACTGGAAATTGGAGGCACACATCAAAAGAAAGAAGGGTCGAAGACGACGTCGACCGGAGACTAGTGATCACCGGTCTATGTTTCGCGAAGGGCAACAGACGTAAGTAAAGTGAGGTAAACTAAAGTAAGTAACATTACTCTGAAATCGTAAAGTACAATAGTCTTCATTAAGACTCATTAATCTTCAAATCGCTACTCAGATTCCTACACCTTTGGAAATGACTCTTATAAATGATTTCTCACTGTAAATCGCATGTGATTATCTTGTTTGCTATGGCTATATTAAAAATGTACTTATATCCAGAACCACTAAGTGAGAACACATGGGTACTTGACATACATAGTAATTCAAAATACATGACTGGTTCACACTTACTTCGTTCAAAAATGAAAAATAGAGTATGTAACGTTCTACTTAAATAAATAACTTCATTTGCTTCAAATGAACAAAATGGTGACAGCATTTCAGATTGGGTTTAGAGTAAGGTTTGCATTCAATAAACTGAATATAGATATAGAACAAACTAAATAATTGTCGACTAATTACTAAATTAGGATGCATTTCAGATCGGTAGTTGTCGGCATTTTTCAACTAATTTCCCAAATATTTCTTGTACATATATACCGACTAACTGAGGTTGGTTCGCGAAATATATTTTAGCAGCGAATCGATCGCTCTCATTTGAGTGGTTTTATACTTTTAAGGCTTAACGTCCTCCATTTTTGAACTTTAACTGTTATTGTCGACAACTATCCTTAGCGTGGAGTTCCAGCATAGTAGATATTTACTTAAAATTGCTAAATATTGACTGATTATATGCTTTGTTTTTCTTCTTAAACTATTTTCTGATTGCTTTTCACTGGGTATGACAACTGTTAATGAAACAACGATTGTACGATGGTAATTCAGTCAATCAGTAATACTTAATACTTCTGTATGGAGTTGGCTTATAAAGAAATCGGTGGTAATCCAACTAAAAGAATCACCACAAATAAAAAACGATAAACTCACTGATATGTACACCATAAAACAGCAATCATCCATACAGTATGTGCAACGTAAAATGTAAAAGGGCATGATTACAAAACGATAGCCATGAAATGCTCACCTCACTATTGCTTTCAACAGATATCCATTCGTAATCTAGCCAAGACGTAATATATCTGACTATGTTTACATGATTAAGTCGCGACATTGTATACACTTCAGACCTAGCAAGCTCCTAGTAAGTAGAAAATAAAATAAAGTGACATTAGTTGGATATCATTTTTATCTTTCGTTGTAACACATTTATGATTAAACAGGTTTCGAAACAAAAAAATCAACATATTTTCCATAATATTATGTTATATGACATCAGTTTTGGAGAAACATGGTTGCACGAACGAAACGCATGTTGAAAATGGGAGAGATGGATGAGATTCTGACATACGTTTATCATTATCTGAATATTTTGACCAGACTGTTTTATCGCCTAGTACCATAACCAATAGCTTATTTCAAACTAGTGAGCTATAAATTTTTGCACAATTCAATAAATTTCATGTGGCTACAAAACTAATAAAGTAGGACTTTTTCAATGACAAACATGAATACCGTAGAATCTTGTACAAATGTGAATGATTCAAAGCACTGATATTTTGAATTAGCACAAACGTAATATATCACTGGAAAGAACAACCGTGAAGTGAAAACAACGATACGAATGGTAATGAGAAAAAAGGATAGGAAATAAGTGAAATCCACAAATGAAATTTACTGAATACGACGATATTCGAAAGCTTGGAGAAAGGAAAGTGTGAACGTAACTGTGACAAGATTTTACCAATATCACTAAAATCCCACAACAGCACTGAGCAAAAATAAGTGAATAATATAGTGAGTGCAAATTTTCAGGTAAGGAAAACATTTAGAATATTGATCGGTCGAAAGAAAAAAGTTTGAAACTGCACACGATTCTCATAGTTCGAGTTATCACACTTATAGATAGCCCAAAAACAAAACGAACAAAATCGAGGATATAAAAACATACAGCTACTGAGGTAAACAGACATATATAACATGCCTCCAAATGCCCTGGTACGGTCGAAAGTGGGGTGAGTCAGCACTCCCTCTCGAAATCCTCTCACATAACCACGTGTATACAGCCATTACTACGACGGCCCTATTACTGCATTCTCACGGCTGGAGTGTTGTTTACGAAATTCAGAGGACGAAAAGCGAATGTCCGGTGAATATGGAGGATCTACCTAGGGGAGTTGGCAAACTCTGACTCCAAACCAATGGTGCACATGGGCTCAAGGATCATAAACCAATTACTGGTCACCGGCTACCATGGGACTGTATCTCCTGACGTTGATCCGCTACCTTGTGGATCAGACCTTTAGGTTGAAGACTCCGGGAGTGGCCCCTTAAGAAAACCACTTGATTTGGTCTGGGCATCCGAGCAGTATCGCAGTCCACATACAAATCAGGTGACTTGTGTGGCGCACATGTATTTGGTGCCTCTTTGTACCAATATTTGTGCTCAAATAAATAATATAACAAAATATTGTTTCTATTAGATATTCATCAAACTGCACTCTGATATGCAGAAATATTTATATGGATATATGAAAATGTTGAACCGATCAAGGCAATTTATGAGTCAGTAATCACAATAAGCAAAAGGTACAGATTAATGGTAAGGAAATAGATACATTAGTAGTGATAATAATGATAAAACGTCAATATAGAAATAAGATCGAACTTAGGTAAATAAAAATGAAAATAATGACCATCAAAAATTATTAAAACCACACCGTACGAAGTATGTAAACAACCAAACAGTTACATATATAAACAGTTGGAGGTCATGAAAGACAAGCAAACACAGGATTTGAAAAACTTAGTAAAGTCGTTTGCCAAGTAACATCTGGCAGAAGAAAAGACATCAGCGTCACAAATTTCTTCGATCATAGGTGTCTTCGAAGTACTTTTCGTGTATTTTGGAATCACCGAGTAAGCAATGCTGGAGTTAGGGATAGAGTACTAGGTAAAGATGGCAAACCGACATATGAAGTAGTACGTCTTTATCAAGTGAAGTGGTTGGGGCATATGTTACGTATGCCCATCCGCCGCCTAGCCTAGGCTGGAAGAAAGCTAGGAATGGACAAACCGGTATGTGTCATGAGTCCATGAATTCACTGACAATTAGGATGAGACATTTTAATGGGTGCAGGTTACCTGGTTGGGGCCCGCGTGATTATCGTAACAAATGGTTAAACTTTGAATGATGTCTCAAAATCGTTCACAATGACGTAGGTGCATCCACTCTTTGTCTTCGCCCAGATTCTAAGTTTCTAAATCAATCAAAATATTTCTTATTTCGCAAACTTTTACTTTCGCGCATCGCATCTTAGATGTCCAAACTTTTCCATTACTACTGTTACTGTTACTATATCTACTATATTGGGACTTTGACAATATAGTTTTCACTGTGCTAATGATATGGCAAGTTGAATAGATGCATAAAAATACCATGTTCTATGCTGAGTATGACCGACTGGCTTGGAAAACAAACCAGGTTAATAGGTTCGGATTCCTATGGATTATAGTATATATATAGGAGATGGAATTGAACCATATTGGGGAACAATAAATCTTCTGACTGAGCGCTTGAATCGCTTTCCTACAGGCTTCTAGTAGTCTTAGGCTAAATCTACACGACAACTTGAACACGAGAGAAAAGACGTGAAATATGGGAAGGAAGCTTTACTCCAAGGTTAGATTATGTACAGAAAATTAAGGGTATTTATAGCATTTCAGATGGCCTTGTGCTTCTGAAACCCTACTAAACATAGTAGTAGGATGGGTAATTACCAATCAGAAATATAACACGTGACTCTTCACTTTCTAGATGTCTCTGAGAAACTTCTACTCAATACTGATTACTTAAAATACTTTTCATCGTTTTCGGGGCCCATTTGGGCTCCTTCCGAGGAATATTCTGGGTCTCCCCGAAAGGGAACGGCAAAGGTATATGACAGATCCCTCAGAACGATTTAGTTTGACCTGCCGCACGACCACTGCTTACATAGAAAATAGGTACAGAGTAAATAAGTCTGGAAATGTGCAGTTAATATCTAGCTGACACCTAAGAATACTGAATGGTGGTTCTAACATTTCGATGGTTACAAGTAAAAAGCTTAAGATTTTTGTACCTCCAACTTACGTGCTCAAAACTTATCAGCTTGTCGTTTGTATAAAATTTTCATCCTCTACGGAGAAATTGTCAAAAGTATGCATGAGGTAGACCTGAGTAAGTCAGACGGGCGGCGGATATCTGTTAATTAGTTTGTGACTCATAAAAAACACTTCGGTGATCTTTAAAAAACAACTATGAATACAGATACTATATTAGGGTTGGACTAAGAACAGTTTATTGTTTCTTTTACAATTTTACATAAATAAACTACTAGACAACTGGTAGGTGACGTCCTGTTTAGACAGACCCTGTCAAAACTGGCAGTGTCGTACAAATCAAGCGTATAAGCATGAGAACACATCTCGCTCTGTTAGTTTTACCTTGGCTGAAGAATGTTTCAACCGACAGGAATTAATAAGGTGAGAGCGGAAATCACGAAAGAACACGACTAAACTTACAAGAGTATCTCTCGAACGTGACCCGGAAATCTTTTTGATTGCGTAGGCTTTTCCGTCAATTTTGTGTCTTGTCTACAACAATGTCTGATAAAAATATGGGGGTAGTATACCTTGTAAACGGTTCCAAAACCACCATCTCCGATAAATACAAGTGGGTCGAAATTGTCGAGAAGATATTGATTTTGGACACAGCTTAAGAACCTAAGGATGTTAAAGTATTAAATACATCTAAAACCTTGGAAATGAACTCTTATACTAATGTTTTTCAATGAAAATGATTTACCAGTGAGAGCAACAGTTCAGAAGCCAGATCAGGTTTATATGTACGTAATATTTCCAACAAACGCAAAAGGTTTCTACCAGTTTCATCGTCTTTCTGCAGTGTGCATTTCCTTTTCTTTCCTAGATAAAATATAGCGATGAATACCCTATAGCTTACGATCGTATACCAGTATTGGACCAGGAGATCTAGACATTTTATGAGTGGTTTAACCTCCTGACGACCTTGGCCGTGTTTACTGATGGGTAAAAACACAAATTTCACTCAACAAAATTGGTGCGAAGAAAATGCCATTTTTCATGATTTAAAAATGAGCTATAAGAAATGTGTCTTACATGTAAAAATATACGAGATCTCGTGCTATAAAATGAAATTATGATTTTATAGGGATAGGTCAAGATTAGTAATCTTCTAGTTTTCCACTGCGTTTAGACAGTCCTTGATTATTTTTATGGCGTCAGAGTAGTCTTCGTCTCAGTTTTGAGTACCGACACTGGTTAGAAATTTTGTGCATAGAAAGAGAAAATATCCAAGACAAAATGTTTGCATTAAAACTTTTTCAGTTTCAGTTTGGGTATGACAGTTAGCTAAGTGACTTGTTTCAGTCTTGGCAATGCTGGTCTGTCGGTCGATCGGATTTTCCTCTGAAAGCGTCGACAGGTGGAGCTTCCATCATGTGTTGAAGTAATAAATTCCATTCGCTGACATTTCTATGAGAATGTCTGTAATCAGTTGACGAGTGGTCTGTTATGAGCTTGTGAACCGTCGTGGGGTGCTCTCTCTGAATCTACAATTTCTAACTAACTTCTTTCGAACGATTTTTTCTAAAATTTTAAAAATCACCCCGGTAAGGCTTACGGGTCGATAGTTGTCAGGTTTATGTCCTGTACCTGTTTCGAAGACAGGACTTACTATGATGTTCTTTTAGTAATTTGGTAATCGTACCTGGGTTACAGTTGGTTAAAAAAATATGCGTATGAGGTTCGCAACGAAATTCACTGGTTCCTTTAGTAACCTGGGATGTATTATATCGGTCCCATGGATTCGACTATATCAAGCTTATTTATCAGGTCAAAGACATAGAGTTCTTTAGTGGTCACCGTATCGAGTATGTGTGGAAGTTCGTATGAACTCAAGAGAAGAGCATTTGAATGATATATACATTGCTAAAAGAGTTTGAGGGTACCTGAGCTTTACCATAGTCATCTGCCACCGATGATGAAGTATTACTGTCTTCCCATGGTGCTGGAACATATCCTCTTCTCTTAGTCCTTTGATTTATGTACAAGTATAAGCGTTCGAGGTATTCTAGCGATTCCTCAACAAATTTTTTCGTACAACCTCCTAGATTTGTGGAGGATCAGGACACAAATGTCCCGAGCTACCCAATATAGGGATTTTGTCTCATCAGTACCCAGTAACCTAGATCTCTCCCGAATTCTTACGGAGAAGGGTGTAAACCACTTTGCTGAACCACGGCAGGGATTTTCTCGAGCCACTTAATGTAGTCGAAGAGATGTGAAATGCTGTAACTTTTATGTATCAATTTCTGAATACTTCCCAAGACATTGCATGAGAGGAATCTGGGTCTACCGACCAGTCTACTGAGGATGATGAGTGTGTAGTATCTTATATATTTGCTTTCCAGATGTTTGGTCCGTCTTGGGCTGACATGTTTTTGTTGACAACGATATGGGAACCAAAAAGTAGTACTCCATGGTCACTCAACCAGGGACGACATATGATGAAGGTTTGTGACCCCCCCTTTATAATCGGTCAATATGAGATCTAGTATGCATGATTTGAAGTCCAGTTTGTACCTAGTTGCCTCTTTCACAGGTTGCTCTATGACACGTGAACTTTCTCTATTCTTAAGGATTAAGCATAGTATCACACTACGATTTACTATTTTCTTTTCCCTCTTTTATTGCTAACATACCTAGGTTCCTGCCCGGAGGTTTCGGTGATTCCCTGCTACTAGGCACGGAAGCCTGTTAAGCGAAAGCTTCTTCTATTCCGTCCACAACCATTTGAACTATTTGGTAATCCTTCATTTATAGATGATACCGACATCATTCACATTGTAATACTGATAGTAAGTCGAAAGGTTATGTAAAAGAAGAATTCTTATATTATAACAAACGTAATGGTGATAACTGATTATTCGTCGAAATATCTTCCTGTCTTAGAAGACATAAAAATTGATATTGATGACGTTACAAGACACGTACAAGTTACCGCGATTTGTCTGGCGGTGTTATCGAAATAAAGGGATGTAACATTAGCAACACGGTAAGATAGAAACAACTTCTGGTTTGAAGTTATTGATTAATTGATTGGTTGTATCAGTGCGTTTAATTGGGCGGTTACGGTAAGTTACAAGCTAATTGAACTGAGAATGTACACACATCTCATCGTGGGATTTACTCTAGCGTCAATTCCATACAATTAATCGAGTTGTTCATTACGTTAATGGCGAGTCTGCAATAAGACTTTTAAGTCCCAGTATGCCTAGAACAAAAAAACAGACTCACATAAAATCTGAGTTCGATGTCGAGGCGAAGAACCTTGGTACTGTAGAACAAAAACTTGGTGAAATAAAACAAACAGTCAGCCAAATTACAAATCCAACCACTTAAAAAATTGCGTCCTAGTGAATCGTTTTTATATGAGAAAAGAAGTGTCGGCAATATTATTGCGCATTGTATTTGTTCTGTAGTACCAGAGTCCGCTTCGGTATTTGATTCAGATTTTACGCTTGGATCTGTTCCGTTTGTTCCAGGCATACTGAAACTCAAGGGTTTTTCAGAGGCTCGTCAGGATGTCAGCTACCCTTATTAGACGTCCTCAAGAACTGGCAGCAGCAACAGTCACTAATTATTCAGGAACAATTTGTCGAGGGCATGAACTACTACAAAAGAAGTTCGCGAAAAAAGCACATAAAAGTTTCTCGTGAGGAAACAATTTTGGAAGAACAGGTTTCCGTGATCACAGGTTTTTAATAGTTGAACTGCCATAGTAGTTCGAAGGTTTACCGGCTAACTGCCCACGTTAGAAATGCCCAGAAAGTGAGCTTCTGCTCAAGAAGTACTAAGTGTTTATACTACAAACTCAACAACGAGCATACGAGATGGTGCAGTCTGAAACATCTACGATAAAATGTTGTGTGGAATTATTGTCCAGCTATCTTAACCTAGACGATTGAGTTTGTTTATTTTTTAAATTATTGTTATGACTGAATAAAAGTGGTATAGTTTGACATAAATGAAAAAATTCCAGAACTGTAGATGGAAATTTGCTATGCTCCAAAGATAGATCAGGAACTTTTCGGCGTACACGTAGTTTTATATTTTTTACTCATACTCATCAATAGTCAAATTGAATCATATTGAACTGGGAAAAACTTGACAATAACTAATCATTAACTTAATGGATATTTACAATTTACATCATAAGACTGAACTGCTATGAGTAAGAAATGTCAGTGAACTTTTTTACTATCGATTATATTACTGTAAACATTAATTGTTTCTGACGTATTGTAAATGAAATAATTATTAAATTAAACACTAATCTGGCAATGGAAGATAGTGAACTACTGATCGGGTTTATATTTGGATAGTTTGATGGTAAATTTTTCGATCGGTTGTTATTTTTGTATCGACAGATGTAAAGACTTAATTTGAGACAAACACAACCGGTTTTTTGGAAAGGTAGAGTTTAGTCTCTTGATTATTTGCACATGTGTGCATGGTGTTTAGTATAATCTTAACTTGGATAGGTTCAACTCGGATTTAAGTCAACAACAGGGGAAATGTATAGACAACTGACGGTCAGCCACAGTTTTAATTTGACAAGATGTGTATATAGTTTTGACTTAACTATGGTATCAATCAATCAATAAATTTCCTACATTTTTTAAACAAGAGCGAAATATATGGACGAGTTTTCCAACCGGATGACCTAATGCTTGAGAGTTGAGTGCTTTTACCACTATAAGGAACTGATCACTTAAATGAAGGCTATATTTTACTAGACAGTTTTTGCTGCTTTTGGTCTAAAACGTAAATAAGATTTCTCTTCTTAAAATCAGACTAAATGACCGTTTTGTTTCCTCATTTTCAGCACTTAGTCAACGGATGGTCATGAAAGGGAGTCTTTTAGAATTGTCATATCACATAAAATATTTTAGATTTGTGAATCGGGATTTATTTTTTAGGTCTGAGGCGTTATTGTGCATTGAAGTTCACATTAACATTTAAATGACATTTATATGATTAAGTATCAAATACAGCCTAGATATAAAATACTCTGAGGGGAGTAAAAGTATATTTTCATGCGTTTTTTGCAGTTTTTTGCGTTCTTTTCCATAGATTTGAAAACGAGTAGTCAGTATTTTCATGTATAAACAACCCCGGGATTTTTTATAACATGTTAGGTCACGTTGATTTGTTCTTATGAGTATTTGCTCTCTCCATAACGTGTATATATTCCCTTTTTGGCTGACCATTTTTCATTCTTTCTAGCTTTCTAAAGATGTTATCCTGTGAAGAACTAGCAATAATGAGAAATTTACCAGCTCTTGTGTCAGATTTGGATAGTATGGATATTATTGATCACCTTACTGCTACTACTCCTCCATTAATCACCCCTACTGATTATGAATCAATTATATCGACTTCCCAAAGAGAGGGCAGAAGAGCAGGAGTAAGATGTTTGATTGCTTGTTTACTACGTCGATCGGAAATCCAAAAAGTATTCAGATCTTTTCTGAATATATTACAAGAAGATTACGGCCACTTGTTTGATTTGTTAGACAAAACATACGAGAGCTTAAAAAATGAAAATAACTATGAATCTGATTTTGGTGCACTAAACAAAATTTCCTTTTGTTCTAGTAGCGTTTTGGAGACAGAAAATCCAGTAACCGTAACTACCCCTTGTCAATCGATCTCCAAAGACGATCATTCGAAGATGTTTTTAAAAGGGCTTGGAGTTTCTGAGAATGGTAATTATTCAACTAATTAGCATGCTATTAACGTATATATATTGACTAAATACTGATTGAAGACAAATATCCTTTGGTTCGTGATGTCATAATATAAACTGACTACCTCTGTTCTTTTCACTATCTCATAGTCAGTGTATAGTGTTAAGTTGGGGAGTTGGGGCAATATATCTAGAACGTGTCTAACTGTCCAAAGTTCGTGTTTCTGAATGATATCACTTGTCGAATCGTG